CCAATTTTGTTTGCCAAAAGACACTTTTGAAATATTAACATTAATTTAATGTAACGGTGAGTGGAAATAGATACTGGAAAAAAATGGGCAATATAACATTATGTTAATATAATAATATTAAAACAGTATTCTCACAGAAAGTGCTATACAATATACACATGCAAATGAATTTATAACTCATCATTGTTTTAGAGAAATCTAAATATTAGACCAATTAAATTATTTAAATTCGTGCACAGGCTGCATATTTTCTTATCTAAAATGGTCATTGAATCAGTTGAAAATCTATGATATTGCATGATGATTACACGCATAATTAGGGGTCTATAACAAAAATGCTTTGATAAAAGAAAGTAGTCTTTGCGTGTGCTAACCTAAGTAATTTAATTATTACAAATTTTAACGATGCATGGCCATCAGGTAGTCAAACTGATTGCTATCCAATGTACGACACGAAACGCACACGAATTCCAGATCAATATTTCCTTACATTTTAAATTCATCGTCCGAGATTTCTTGGCATTTGTTATGATACCAGTTCTTACAAAATGAACATTGAACACAGTCATTTGAACAGTTTGATTTGCATCCACCATATGGAAACCTGGCTCTGCGTTTTCTACTGAAATTAAACATGATTCGTTTAAAAATCACCAATACAGAAGAAGGAAAACAATAAATGTGCAATATTTAGGCTTTGTTTCAAAATGAGAGACGAGGTGATTAGACTTTAAGATTTTATACCTTGCATTCGATTGCTTGTAATTAACAATAATGTTTTGCTCAGACTGTCTAGCAGTTTATTAATGGTAAAAAATAAACTTGAAACCCGACTTGTTTCCTTAGAAAACATGCTGGCAATTTTCAGTACTCAATATGTAGTCAAAATACAATTCGTTGCTGATTTTAGTAGTTTTACTAGTGAACAAATATTACTTGAGTAAATGAGAGCTTGCCGCCTGATCACCTTTATCGGCATTTTTTTTTTGTTTGTAACCGTCGACAAGAAGCACATGCGTTTGATGATTCTGTTCGGCAATTCATTTCATTTCATTTTATGCGATTGTCGACAATTTACCTATTATTGTTCACATGATCTAATGTCTATAATTGACTCCTGGCCTCAACTGCCCAAAGGCAGAGTTGTCTTTCTGCTATTCAACTCGTACCAAGAGGTCATTATTCAATAATTGCAGGTTAAAGAAAACATTGAGAATGTTCAAATGTATTTTAATTTGCACTTTTGTAATAGTGCATTTTTTTATTTTTGCACTTTGTTCATTAGATTACATAAGTGTTTTATTCACTTTTTATAAGTAAACAGTCGGAACTGATCCTCATCACGTGAAATATATTTTGGCTGAATAGAAATTTAGTTGTAAATACGGCTCTGATTTGGCATATAAATATAACAGTGAAAAGAGGCAGTAAAATGAGAGTAAATTCTAAGAAACAGTTCGAAAAGATGAGACACCATGTTATTAATAGATGTGTTAGCAATATAAACATTTGTGTTGAACTGGATTTCTCCTTCGCATTATTCTATATACATATTCATGCATCCAATTATTAAAGCCAAAGGTAACGATCTTTGCTTATGTATCCTACATTATATATATATATATATATATATATATATATATATATATATATATATATATATATATATATATATATATATATATATATATATATATATATATCAGTCGATACTTTCGAGCAAATGGTAATTGGAGATGTTCGTTACATTTCGTACAAAGAATTTCTAACTGCTTTAGTAATTTAATGTATTTCATTTTGACCCAGAACTTCACATTGCAATGAATTTAAACATTTCTTTAGTAGTAAATGCATTACGTGCGTGTTTCTAGACAATATTTGAGAGTATTTGGGTATATTTTAGCAGTATTTGGGTATATTTGGGCAGTATTTGGGTAGTATTTGGGTGTATTTGGGTAAATCGTGCCACCCTCCATTATGGACTCAAGAGGCGTGGTCTATCCACAATAGTTAAGTCAACTTTGTTTTCCTTGGCATCCTAGATTATCGTAGTTAAGCCAGTTGTTTGCTTCCGTTACGGATCACTGCCATCTCACCTCTCTCTGCGTGGGTTCGAGTCTAGGATTCGGCGAATGTGGACATTTGAGAAAGCTTGCCAGTAGCTTCTCGTGGGTCGGTGGTTCTTTCCGGTGATTTCCCAGTTTCTTCCTCCACCATTAATACTGGCCGCCATGAATAGCCTATCGTGTGCTGCAAAATGGCGATGGCGTTTAAGCCCAACAACAACAACCAGTTGTTTGCTCAAGGTAACCAAGTGCTACTGGAACTCGACCATTTTAATGTAAGCATCAATGTACTTGTTCTCAAGCATCAATTTAGTTAGAAGACGGACAAAAATGGTAAGGTGCATCTTCCCTTCCACGTTTAAATAGGATATTTTCCTGAACTGATTGATCCCTAATGAATTATCTTTCTTCGGTATAAATTAGCACTTTGCGATTGGACATCTTGCCACTTCTCTATATGCATTTAATAGTTTCAAGTCTTCTAATTAGTCTTGTACATTATCTGTAAACCTTGTAATTAACACCTTTCGGTTCTGGAGCTGATGTTGTCATTGCATCTTTCACAATGTCGTTCAATTCTTACACTCATGGTTCTGAATGTTCAGTTAGAAATGTTAATTCTTCTTGCTTTTTAAGTCTGTGCAACGGAGATAACTAAGGCTTTTCTCTAGTCTCCTTCGATATTCAAATCTCCCAGATCTTTCGTCTCCTAACAGCTCTTTGACAAGACCCAATGGATTGGCAGTGAAGCGTGTTCTCTTCTGAATACGCTCCCTTTTGTTCTTCCTTACGTTCTTTGCTCTTTTTAGTGTCTTTGTCTTTTCATGTGGGTTATCTCTGAAGTTACTCAGCCCCTTTTTCTCTCCATCCACTGCATTGTGATACCTTCTTGTCAACCTCAACGGCGTTTCACTTATGTTTGCAATCTCTTAAAGTCTACGGTTTTCTTTTGCCTGTGTATTTCGCTGTTTCTTTTCTTCTCACCAAAACTGAGGTTCTCCTACTGCAGATGATGGCCATGGCTTCAATCATTCTGTCAAAACTTAGTGCTGATGATACTTCCAATTGTTAGTCAGAATTCTTATCAAACTGTCTCCATGCTGTTTAGTTTGAATTCACAGGCTATTTCACTCTTAGTTTCTATCTCTTCATACTCTTGTACAGAATACGATTGCATCCAATCTGCAGTTCAGCTAAAACATGAAAATGATTGGGAGCTTAAAATTCACTGTACCAGTATGCTATTGATAATCTTAATTAGATGCATTGCTCTATTACAGAATTGTGATTGCTTTGCAAAAGCACGATTTTTATGCTTAATTAATTCGAAACTTGTTGATATTTTTATTCATTTCCCTTTGAGTAACCTCATATACTTGGCAGCCTCATTAAATTTACCTTTGTTAGGGTTTATTTTATTCATTATGTGGAATAGATAAATGTATCTTGTACTTGACTTTGTCCAAAATCACGTTCACTGACTAGAGACACTGATGATCCATTTTTTAGTAAACAAGATATATACAGATAATATTTTCTGTGAGTATTGTTTTAATATTAAAATCAATCAAAGTAAACATATTTATTATGATCTTGGTTATTGGAATTTCCCCATAAGAATACCAAGCCTATCGGATGCTTACAATAGTCTATATTATAAGTTTAGTAACATATTGTTTTAGAATGAACAATTCCATTAAGACATATTATATCTAGAAAACACAATTTGTGACCTAAGTCAAGTAGAAGGCTTTGTAATCTTGTTTATCTAGATATTATTCATTCAAGTAGTAAGGCATTGGAGAAGAATCAGTCTGATAATTTGTTCATTATTTGATTTGGGCTAGAATTATTTATTCAGATTATTAATCTCTGGAATTACAAAGTGTTCAGTAATATTTGTAGTCATAGATTTTAATTTGTAATTATAAAGAATTCAAACAAGGGCATAATGGATTATATTATATTTGATTCACCAAAGAGGGTTGTCACATGACCATGTCACATCAATTTTCACTTTGTAATTTAGGTAAATTAATCATTGATGGAATTTTACAAAACTTGGTTTTCGCTCTCTTCTTTTACTTTGTTTAAGACCATAGAGTTGTACTAAAATAGTGCTCTACAATCTTCAAATACTCCGTATAATTCATAATATTCACAGTTCAGGAACTTGGCTGGAAGAAGACATGGAGCATTGTCTGTTGTTTCTTATATCGTTTGTTTACTAATGGAATTTAGTTGCGTTAAGGACTACATTTATTGTTCCACTGCGCCAAATAACGGTCGTCCTTAGCAATCTAGTGTTTCTATCTCTTTAAAAGCTCTAAAAATGCGAGCTATCTCATATCACTGCAAGGTCGCTCAGAACATATACTCTAATAAACTTTCATCATTGGCGTGATTGCTTTCTCTTGCTTTCTCAAAACCGTGACACAAATTAAATTTCTCAGTCGCTGGAACTATCCTCAAGGTGAATAGCATTGTCAAAATCACATAGGTGCTTTTAGTCAATGTCAAGTCTTATTCATGAGCCAGTTGAGCCAAGGGAATATTGTCCTCATACTCTGCTACATCATCATCTACACTGATGTCATAATTGTCAGTATTAATAGAGAAGCCTTCAGCATCAAAGCGCTTTTTGATTGAAGCAAGCATTTCTATCTGACAAGACTTTTGAAATCCAGTGGATAACATCCAAAAGAGTCATTTGATTACAAAGTTCACTATCACATCGCACGTTCTTAGTGACAAGAGAACACAGTAGATGTTTTCAATATCTACCCCTGAACGCAAAAATTACGCCCTGGTCAAGAGAATGCAGATGGGATGTCGTTCCAGCAGGAAGTTTAAAATTACGTGACTTGAATAGAGATGTGATGTAGAATTGTTTAAGAACATGATGATTTGTTTCTCCTTCCATCTGATCAAACCGCTCTGGTGGCCTAGTGGTTAGAGCGTCAGCCTTGGATGATGAAGGTCGTGGGTTATATCTCCGGTTGAGTCATACCAAAGACTTTTTTTAAAAAAATGTTAATAACAGCTGCCTCGCTTGACGCTCAGCATTAAGAGGTTAGTGCTATTACTTATTTGCCTGGTGTCAGGGTAATGTGACTGGGTTGGACATCATGCTACATATCTGCGGCATGATGCCCCAGTGCTACGTTAAAAATCATAATCACATCACATCACATCCACCTCATCTGTTTGTTTACACTATTTATCTATTCATGAGAAATCGGTGCAGTCATCCATGACTTCCTATAGCTATGTAAGATGATGGACACTGTCTTGACCACTGGCTGTCAGACAATTTATTGGTGGTGAAAATGTAGCTGCAAAGTCTGCAACATTGTTAGACGCCGCATCTTTTAGTTCTCCGAGCAAAACAATTCTATTTGGTTGGGACTGGTTCTTGAAATGTATCACTGAGGTTTCCTTCCCTATATAATCTATCGAATATGTCACTCACTGGCTTTTTATTGTATGGTTGTCATTAGTTACCAGGAATTAATTGGGTCCCAGGAACTGAGGATCCCTATCTTTTAACGATGCCTATATTCCAGACTCACTGTACTCGGTGTAGAAATGTTATTTTCCTCAAGGTACTGAGTGGAGTGCTTAACATTATCTCCATTTTTCTTGTTTAAATAATGGTTAGAAACCAATGTAAGACATCATCGGAAGACATCGATGCTAAAAACCATGCCTGTCTTCCCATTTTTGTTGCGATTCTTCACCACAGATTGAACATTTAATCTTTACTAAGCAAGAATGAATTTTATATGCTGATTTAAATAGTCTTTTTCCACAAGTCCATTTTTGCAAACTGAACGTTCAAATAGCTAAACAACACCATTATGAATGGTAAAAGGTCTTCGCTTATGTCAACCATATACCTTGCCACACAAGGTGCACTTCAGAAGTTGCATTCCATGACCATTGTTAGCTTTCTCTCTATCATACAACTTTTTGTAAGCTTCAAGACCATGCTCATCACCTAGATGGCACTGACAGCAATGGCTCTCTGTAAGCTAATACCACAAAACTCACATCTGTAAACAAAGCCTTTATGTTCCTGTTTATGCTAATAAAATGGAGCATTTGCTGAAAGTTTTTTTTTTCCTTTTAATTCACATATGGTAGATGGAGTCTCGCGAATTCTCATTATTTCATAAAAGAATCTTTGTTGCGAAATGTATGCTTGCACTGCACTCATGTAAATTGACCTTTATTTGTGTGATATCTAAGATTGTGTTTAAATGGTCCTTTTTTCTTAATTTTTCGTCTGCAGATTTCACAAGCAAATGGTCGATTCTTTGTAGTGTATACAAATGAAAGGACATGTTACCTCGCTGAGAACATTGTTTTCAACATAACCCAAATGTATAATGTGTTCCTTTATGAGCAAAAGACTCGTGACTTTTTAAGTTTAATTGAGTTTAAACAACTTTCTACATAATGAACACTCAAATGGTATCATGTTGAATATTTACCTACAAGATGTCGCAGAATACCAGATCTGCTACGAAACACCCTTCCACAATATATACACAGAAATATATTTTTAATAACATGAAACCGCATGTGTATCTTATATTCATCACTTGCTGAGAATGTCTCCTTACATATTTTACGAAAACAATTGCCATTTTTGTACTCTTTTATACCCATTTTATGCATACAACTTGTACATTTCTCCTCACTAAAAATGTATGTTAGGACTCTTATATGCAATAATTCTCCATTTGGTTCTTTTGCTCTGCTTGTAAAGTTCACTTTCTGTCTTGAATGACTGACCACACACTAGACACAAACATGGTCAGTGATTAGAATGGATGGTAATGTGTCTCATAAAATGACTGATCACACACTAGACACAAAAATGGTCAGTGATTCGAATGAATGGTAATGTGTCTATCCTGTGTGAAACGAATTACTACAAATATTACAAATTAAGGGAGATAACTCCTTGAATCTATCCTGTCCATGCAGTTTAGGTTCATTTTCCTTGAGCAGGTTTTTTTGTTGCCATTCTTACACTGTTCTGGAATTACAACATTAGATGGAGTGTAAGTTTCTCTTCTAGACAAAAATGTCGGGTAATTTTTAACAATTATATTCCCGTCATATATATATATATATATATATATATATATATATATATATATATATATATATATATATATATATATATATATATATATATATATATATATATATATATATATATATATATATATATATATATATATATATATATATATATATATATATATATGCTGACTCGACTCTACAATTCCTTGCTTTGTCATTGTTTACTGTACTTTGCAACTTTGTATACAAAAGGCTTCATTCTTAAAGGTTTTTATTAACAAAGTGGAAAATTTATACAAGATTCAATTGGCAACTATTGATTTTGATTACAATTCTTGTTTCTTTTAACTGTCTCTTTTGAAACAATAATAGCAACACTATCTGGACTAACGTTATTGTTGGCTTTTTTGATTATTTCTTTGAAAATATCGTCTTCCTTTAGAAATTTGCAAGAAAAATATTTCTTTCCTTTTTTACATTTCTGCTGAAGTAGAATATGATTTTTTTCTACAATTATCAACTTTTCCAAGGTTTGGTGCACAGCAAAGAAAACCTCCGGTGCAGATTGGATCTACTGTGATTACAGACCTTTCATTTAATTTTGTCATATGAATATCATGGTAAATATTACAGCCATGTTTTACTTTTAATCTTTTTCTGCTGAATGGCACTTCATATGAGATGACAGACTAAACCGATTCCTAAACTTTTTTCCATGTACGAGACATGTAATAGTTCATGATTCATAATTGTTTGTATTTCCAAATTCATGATGGGCAGTCTTATTTTCATGTTGAATCTCACATTCAGCATCTCTTTGCACATTTGAACTTCGAATGCAGTCTTTTCATCATTGTTCTATCAGAATGGATTTTCAGATTAGATGACAGTGCATATTTGTTCCTAAAATTCTTCCGGCAAGAAAGATACAAAATGTATTGTACCGTATCTATGTCACTCACATTATCAGTTCTACAATAGTTTTTCTTTTCTTAATTCCTTTTATTCTCTTGCTTAACGTTTACATCCAACTTGAAAATTAAACCTAAAGCCGCTTGTCCAAATCCATTCATGTGATTATTCCTTGCAGCATTATATTTTATTTTCCACATTATGCTGATTCCTTTTTGAATCGTCTGGAAAGAAAACATTGTCAATATTATTATTTTCTGATTCTATCAGGTCATTACTATTCTTAAAAAAATGTTTCCATGGATACAAAAGCATTCTTTCTCTGCATATTATCCAAGCTGATTGTTTCAAAGTGTTGCTTCTTAACTTCCTCTAAAAACAGGCTTCGTGGGTTTTTCTCCGTAAGGAATGAAGATTTGCCATCACAGAACGTTACAGCTTCCACTTGGTATAAATTAAATTGACTTCCACCCAACTAGCCCCATGTTGGCCCGACTATAAATCTCAGAGACTGATGCCACCAATTGTGGTTCTGATTCAGGTAACATGATTATCTCAGAGAAATATCCCAAGAAAGGAAGAATGAAACAGACAGTGAATGGAGGACTTCGTATCATTGGGTGGAAACTGCTGAATTGACTGCTATGTTTTAAAATTATTAATATATTGTGGTTCATATCTACTTAGTTACCAACAGGTGAGATGGGGGTGCAATTCCTGAACTGGTCATGTCTTTTATCTATGGAACTTATTATGATCATTTCAATTTTTTAACTACTGTTGCTTAAATCATGCTATTCCTTTCTTTCAACATTACACTTGTATATGGCACGTGTTGTTTGAGCATTTAGTGCTCATGGTTCTACGCTTTCGATCTTTAAAAATCAAATTCTTGTACGTTTTCAGTGAGATCCCTTGCTTATCATATGACCTGACCTTAAACAACAGCTGGTGGAAAATATTGTTGAAGCGAAATGCAATTAATTCTGAAAATTGACTTGTCAAGCCCGCTATATAATTTCTTTGTCACAAAGTGCGAGTGTTTTTGTACAGGAAGGACTGTGTGGTTAGTGTTTTTAATTTCTAGGCGTGGGTGCATTGGGGCTTGTTGTTGTTGTTATAGTTTAATGTGTTTGAATAGATAAAAGTTCTCATAAAATGACATGAAAACAGGTTTGCAAAAGTAGCCCGCATATTTTACATGTGTGTAAAATATTCTGTATCTGAATTAAATAACCATTTATATCCCATCAGTCTGAAAACTCAGTCTGATATATATATATATATATATATATATATATATATATATATATATATATATATATATATATATATATATATATATATATATATTCTTAGTCATTCTGTCTTGATTATTTCAAAGCACATCTCAGTCTTGTCCTTGGCAATTTACTTAAATAAATTTAAGCAGTTTGTATTTTTGTGTGTACATCATTTATAAATTTTATGTTCGTTTTATTTCAGCTGTGTTAGTTGGTTGTAATTGAAAACGGCTCAGATCCGAGCTATAATATGACTGCCAAAGTGCCATCTTGAAAACTTTGTTATAAGCTCTGCTGCTAGATGTCTGGTTATATTGACATTGTGCTTCCACCAATAGACTTTTTATGTTGTCTGGTTGGCACTAAGCAGAAATGTTTTCAGTCTGGTATCGAATATGGCCGCCATTGTATCCATGTAGAAAAAATATTATTATCGAAAATTCCCTAGAACAGAAAATCATCGCAACGTGGGGTTTCCATCCTAAGACTTATTATGACGCCTTGTTAGTACTAAATGAAAATAAATCCAAGTTGAGATACAATATTTGCAGCAGAGCAGGTAATTTCAATTACTTCTTATCACAAAAATGTAAAAGTTTTGGTTTCAATACTCCTCATTGAAAATAAATGAATTGGTTTTATCCTGAATTCATGAATATTCTTTTCAGCCAGTAGAGTATCAGTTTCTTCGAGTAACACTTGTTTCTATTTCCTCCCAGCGGCGGC